TATTACGATCTTGATCAACTCCTCTCCCACTTTCATAACAAAAACCAACACTACACATTGCATCAGCGCTATCTAAATCAGCCGATTGCTTATAATAGTTAAATGATTTCCGATAATTTATTTCTACTCCAATTCCATAATGATAGCATCCACCAACAGCATGTATTGCACGCGAATTTCTTAACTCAGCTGATTTCATATAATATTCAAAAGCTTTCTTTTCGTCTTTCTTAACGCCAATACCATGTTGATAGTTGTAGCCAAGAGTATAAAGTTGTTTGGGATCCATTATTTTTCAAAGAGGAAAGAAAATTCATGTGCTATATAAGCTACAAACTTTAATTGCTTGAAACTAACGGAGGATATTTAATGTAATACAATGGTTACATTTTGATTACGTGATTTTTGAAAAATTTCCGCATGCATATTTGTATTTTTAATGTAACAAAATAAATCCAAAATTATACTAATGAAATTAAGATAATTTCAATAGACTTGGTTGGCTAGATTGCTTAACGCCGGCCCAGCTCCGATCTCTGCATTTGCTTGTAACTTTAGAGAGACCTGAAAAAATTTCTATCATATGATAATATGTTTGATAGTGCTTCGTAGATATAATATCGCTAATGTACTGCATTATATCTACAGAAGGCAACTAAAAACCTTAAATATTGACTAATGCTCTAAATTTATTACCGTCACGCTTTATATTGATAAATGTGACCTGAATTTCCTAATGTCTAACTTAGAATTTTTTTTTTAAAAAAAACCCCCTAGGTAACAATTATTTGGTCGTGATTTATTATACTATATTATGCTAGCAATTTTGTTTGTACAAAGTTAATTATAAACATGTTTTAGAATATTGGTTTCTTTTTTCTTATGTAGTTTGATGTTTAGGGCCTTTTGGATTTCTTTTGTGATTCCGGCTCTCCATATGAATGTTAATGCTGTTTCGGCATTGTGTTGTTACCCCATTTACTGTTAGTAAACCAAACCCAGATCGCGTATATTACCCCGATGTGTAACCAAATAACTATCGTATTGGGTTGAAAAGCAACGCATTGGATGCTGTGATTAACATAGAACTTTTAAACTTCATAATATTTATCTTTATAAATTTATTTGGTAATTCCGTTAAATGAACTGGCTGAAGTGAGAGAATATCTAAAGAATAAAATATTGTTTAAAAATTTTCGGTATAAATTAAAAATTTTATGTAAATATAATTTTGCTTGAGTACCATTGCGATCACTTGCTAATCACATCTAGATTGACGCTTGAGAACATCCTTTATTACGTGAAAGAAAATTTTTAATCGTAAAAAAAGATCAATGGGTTTTTCTTATATAAATGATTCAAAGTACTTATATCCTCTTACCAGTTAAAGACTTACATAACAAAGATTCTTGAATGAAGTCCAAATTTAGGAAAGATAAATTCATAAAAATAATATCAATTGATATGTGAAGAATAAATTCTGAGAAAATCGCATATGCGTAGAAAAGATATTCACCTTTTTCTTATCCCTTCCCTTAATCAGTAACTTGTGGATCCAGATTTACAGATTGTAGCCAATGATGCATTCCTGGTACGTGTTTTATTTAACCTAAGGTGTGTAAGTTAGTAAAAAATTCTGTCTGGAATTTTAATATGACATTAAATATTTATTATTTACTGTAAAATTTGGTAATAACTACACAAATTTCACTACATTAAATACCTTTAAGATTTCGTACCAGACGAAAAAAGTAAAACTGGATAAAATCGGTTACTTTTGACGACTTAAAATAGCCATTGATAATGAAATTTTTTTTTTAGATTTTAGCCCATGATTAGAAGTATACATTAGACAATAAAAGATATTAAACGGTGTTTGAGACAGAACTTCACGCAAAAAAAGATAAATTGATTTTAAAGGTCTCTTACGCCAAAAGAACAGACTACCAAACCTAAGAAAAATCACAGATTAAATGAGGAGAAAATATTTATTCTTTAATATAATTGGATTGATATTGCAGAAATTTTTAATAGCTAAGAAACATTACCAAACTTCACTCTGATTACAGTCAACCCTCTATAAATGCATAGTGTCGGGACCATAGTAAAAATTTTTAAAAACATGAATTTAAAGAGGTTATGCATTTAGAGAAGTAAAAATTTATAAGTAAGTTGGGCCAAAAAAAAGACATGCATTTAGAGAGATTTACATAGATATGCATTTAGGGAGGATGCATTTAGGGAGGTCTGACTGTATATCCAAAACAATAAACTATTAGATATATCCAGATGTCGGTTTAACCAGATGTTAAGTATATATGTTCAAATATTTAAAAATGTCAGATATCATTACCGTATTGTTCCGAAATTAAGCACCTTTTCTTTGCAGAAACCTTTGATTTTTGCTAAATATGTTTACAATATTGCTAAAATATTGTTATAATATAATTACAATATTACTAATGTTACGTATTATATGATTATTATATTTTAAAATTATTTTTTTGTTCTATTATCATAAATCACTTTTAATTTAATGTATATTATATATATTTATAATATAATTACAATATAGGCTTAATATTAGAAATATCTTTTTATTACCTAATAGTAATATAATAAAATAATATTTTAATAATATAATAACAATCTGTTTAAAATAATTAATAATATTACTAATATATTACCAATATCTTAGCAAAGCTTATATTTTAGTAAGATGATAACAAGCTAATTAATAGTAATTTAACAGACTAAAAAATATTTTTATTATATTTTTATTATATAATAATTATAAAGCATACATATTTAGTAAAAATCAAAGGTCTCTGTAAAGTTTTTTGTTATAAGAGGTGCTAATTTTCGGTTATAATTTTAAGAATAAATAATATAGAATTTTTGTACTAAGTAACTTACCTTCTGTTTCTAAGAAAAACTGTTCCCCAGGTAAACGGCAGTAAAATCATAAATATTTGTCCAGTAGAACTTTCGCAATTCTCTTCAAAATTGGGCGACGTTTGATTACATTTGCTTTACATGATCTGCATACTTGTAAACAAAAGTCGCCACATTTTGACTTGGAGGATAACTTTACTTAGAAACATAAAGCGGGCTTGCTTAATAAAAAATCAGATACGGTTATACATAGGGGGGTGCTTATTTTCGGATATTACATAAAATTTGATGGTGCTTAATTTCGGAACTATACGGTATATCAAGATCATTAGTGTGATGTGTATTGTGCTCCTTCGTATGCGCATGTTACATAAGCACTTATTTTTTTATATAATTTATCTTGAATTTAAATTATGAATATTGCTCGAAATTTCTACTGTACTAATCGGTTTACTAATTATTCTGAAAATTTTTTCGTATCATGTCCTATTACGTAGTATATGTCTTGAGGATGTATTTGTTTAATCTTATTAGCTTCCGAATTTTTTTTTTTTTTGAATTCGTTATAGTTCTCATTTAAAATATATGAAATCTAAGAAATTTTTAAATAAGATTTAAATACAAGATTAGTAAATTTTAATTTTTCAAACGAGCTCGAATTTTCTTGATCGTGCAACGTTGTACGAACTCAATTCACTAACTTCTGTCGATCAACACATGATTGTTTAAATTATTAATGTTTGTTTGTTGGCGCGCCTCAAAAAAGTTAACTTTGATTATCATCCCAATTTAGTACATAAAAATCGAGATCTGAATTATGACTAGATCACATTTTGAAAAACTGTCTCAAGATTTTACACAACTTCTTGAAAGTGGATATGATTATAATGTTATTATTGAAGTTGGAGAATCAAGTAACAATATTTTCAAAGCACATTCAGCGATCTTGTATCAACGTTCATCATACTTTCGACAGAAGTTAGCAAATGCAACTAAGAAAAATAATATTACAGAAATAAGATTACCTCATCTTTCTACTAAAGCGTTTAGCATGATTATTAAGTATGTTATTAGATAACATTATTAACATAATTATTGTTACGTATTAGATGTTTTATTGTAAAAATAATTTAATATTTTTTGAATATTTCTGTTTTTACTAAAGATATATCTATAGTGGAATAATTTCTTTAGAAAATTTTGAAGCCTCAGAAATTTTTGATTTATTAATAATTGTTAACGAATTTATGCTCCCAGAATTAGTTGAATGTCTTCAACCTACGCTTAGATGGGATTATTCATCATGGCTTTATTCAAATTTTTCTCGAGTTTATCATATAAGCTTTCTTGACGAAAATTTTATATCTTTACAAAATTTTTGCGATGATAGTTTGAATAAATATCCGGATAGAATTATTAATTGTGATGATTTTATTAATCTTGATGAAGATTGTTTAGCGACAATCTTAATGAACGATGATATACAAACGGATGAAATAGTAATTTGGGATAAAGTTATTCAGTGGGGGAAAGCAAAGACTCCGAATTTACCATCTAACCTTGAAGATTGGACAGATGAAAATTTCAATTCTTTAAAAATGACTCTTCAAAATTGCCTTCATCATATTAAATACTTTCGATTTTTCAAGGAAGATATCTCAAGAATCAAACCTTATAAAAATATTCTTGAACCATATATATGGAATGATCTTTTAATGAAATATTTGGATCCAGAAGCGCCTATCACATCGTCATTCTCCTCTATAATTACATTACAACATGCGGCTGAAATTTCATCATGGATTGATCGACGTGCAACAACTTATGAAGTTTCAGAGATTCCATACGAATTTAGGCTTTTACTTAGAGGAAGTAGGGATGGGTTTTCAGGTGAAACATTTCACAGGTTATGTGATTACATACCTGGTACAGTAGTTATTATTAAGATTAATGGTACGAATGAAATAGTTGGAGGTTATAATCCACTTATTTGGAAAGTTGGTAATGCAAATGACGAAGATGCAGAAACAGATGATAGCTTTATTTTTTCTTTAAAAAATGAAAACCTAAATGAATCTATTCTTAGTCGTGTAAGTAATCCATCAATGGCTATATGGTATGGTGAAAGAGATCAAGGTCCATGGTTTAGTGGTTTTGATTTTGGAATTAATTCTAAAAATTCGTGCTGTTGTAATAATAATTACAATGTACCATATGCATATGAAAAACTTATCACATCAGAAGATGGTTGCTTTAGTGCTGATGAATTTGAAGTATTCGAAATTTGTAGAATAGATAAAATGTATGAGACGGATGAAATGGATGAGACGGATGAAATGGATGAGATTGATGAAATGGATGATATTGACGAGATGGATGAGATCACAATTTATAATGAACATTAAATATAAGTTTTGCCTACGAAAATATTGATTTATAATGTAAAGAAGATAATAATAGCATTAAATAAATAAACGTGACGATAAAAATTTGCAAGTTTTTCAGTAATCTATTTATTCAAATAAGGTTATTAATATTTATAAAAATTCTTCCTCATTTGACATTGTTTACGTGAACTAAATGTGAAAAAAATGAATTACGTGTAAATAGGACCAAAATATAGGTATAACGTAAATTTCAAGGTAAAAAATCGAAGTTTTCCAATTGACTCTAGTAACTCAAAACTTCCAAAATTTTGGTATGTAGCTGTATTTTTTACTACTTGTGTCTGACTGAATTTGGCGAGTTATAAGGTTTTAACTGTTGTGTAGTATTTTGATCGAAGACAGCAGTTTTTATTTAAAAAGTATAACATGACAGTTAATTCAAGATTTACCTATGAACTATCTTTAAATCCTAAAAGAAAAAATTCCTCGTGTAAATTTTAGCATATAATCCAAACATTGAACGTTAATCCTAATGAGCTGTTAAGATGGTTTATAACACGTACAGTACGTACAACCTTTCTCATCCTAACACTAATCATAAAGAACTGTTGAATAATTTAGCACTAACCATAAGAGTTATTAGAATAATTATTTAGCACTATTCATAAGAGTTAGAATAATTATCGCTCTTTTCAATTTAGTTGGATCGATGAATTTTGCAGGTTTTTTTTTTGTCCACGAGTCCTATGAATTCGTGAGTCTCGTATATACATATACCTGCATAATAATTACTTGTAATTGTTAGTCGTTTATTATCATAACATAATAGACAGCTACAATTAATTATATGCAGGATATACGGATTCATGGAATTCACGGACAAAAAAAAATCTGCAAAATTCATCGATCCAACTAAATCGAAAAGTGCGATAATTAACACTAACTTTAAAAAACTGTGATTATTTAACATTAACCATAAAGAGTTATTTAAAATTATTATTTTGCTTTATCCGACTATTTAATTTTTACTTTACGCATGATTGGCCACTCAACTGATTACCGTTTTCATTCCCCACTATTGATATTATATATGTAAAGGAAATTCGAGATGGATTCTTGCGGAATTTCCATTTACTACAATAGCTTACATATTATAAAATATTAAACTTACATTATAAAATCAATTAAAAAATGTTTAAATTTAACCTGCCATTATAATCTAGTTCTGAATTTTAATGATTTTGTAATTTTTCAATTTTTACTAATTGTAAAATAAATTGGTCAATTCTTAATACAGAATTATTATTCACGTATAATATACTATTATGTATACAATATTGGGCAAAAATTGTCGAATAACGTTAATTTATCAAATGAGCACGTGCCGCTTTGCGGCACGTGTAGCCAATCATTTACCAAATTACCGTATTCCCAATATCGGCAATTTATGATCATAATTGGTAAGGAGTCGCTCGCTGAGTTAATTTTTAATACTGGAATAAACATAATTACATAGTAACACATGAAAAAAATAACAAAAAGAAATTTTTTCATGATCATATGAGTTTGCCGGATAAATTTATATATTTAAACAAAAAACTAGTGATCCAAGCCGATTAAATCTTTACGGCTAGACTAAGCCGTTATATTTTTAATGGCTTAGCGGCTTAGCCATAATTTATGGGATACGTGTTATTTCACCGACAATCACTTCACTGATAACTTAGTTAACCGACAATTAATTCACGATAAGTTCATTTCACCGACAATTGTTTCACTGACAGCTCATTTCACTGAAAAATATTTTTATAAATTACACCAATCTTAGCTCTAATTCTAACCTGACGCTACAACAATGAGCAGAATTACTTTGTCGGTGAAATGTCGTCGGTGAAATAATTGTCGGTGAAATGAATTTGTCTGTGAATTAATTGTCGGTGAACTAAATGCGCGCCACCCTAATTTATGTTATACTGAATCATAGTATGTCTATATAGTACTTTATTCAAAATAAGTAGCTTTTTAGATTCGTGTTTACTTTAAATATTCCGACTGTTTTTATACTATAGAGTTTTAAATAACAAATTAAATTCTTGGAAACAAATAAGTATTCAGTCGAATTGAGATTTGTTACCAAAGTTTATACATGTTATACATTAAATTGAAAATTGTTTCAGATAAATTTTCAAAACTGAGTTTAAATAGGGTTAGGGTAAAACCCTATTTTGGGTAGTTTATTAATGGCATTATAATTATCTTGATCTAGTGCAAAAATTTTAATTCGATGTATAACGATAACAAAGATTTAAGTTTGGTAATAGGTTTTTTTTCATACTATATAGTTATATACAACTTCGAATTTTGTAATTAATATCATTAGCCGTTATTAGCCGGCTGATCAGACTATCAGCTAGCTAAGCGGTTAAGTAGCTGGCTAAGTGGCTGGCTAAGCGGCTAACTTAATCGACTTGGAGCACTACAAAAAACAATGATTTATTAGTGAGGCTTTCTTTTTATTTATATTTATAGTAGAGGGCAAAAAAATAAAAAAGTTGAAGCTGATGAGCATTCTGAATCATTGTATGAATATTTGGTGGACATTACTTTGTTATTCCGCTATTTCAAGTAAGAAAATTTTGAATTCTTGATACTTTTCAGATTCAAATTTCTAGTTATTAAATTTATCTTATACATTTGTATTACTCAGACTATATTCTATATAACTACTCATGCAATGTATGAAATTCGGGTGTTTTATTATCGCATAGACATTTGGTTAAAATTGAAAAGGTATATAAGCTCATAATTTAAAAACTCATCTTTAATGCTTTACACATAACTGCTTTTTATAATTTTAGAATGGCAATTATTGGACGAAAATTTTTCTAGGCTCCAGTGTCCGTTTTTTTTTGAGATTTTTGGGTGTTTGAAATGTTTTAAACAAAACCTTGCTGAAAATATACATGCACAGTATGTTAAACATACATATTTAATGTATTTATCGAACTTGGATACTCCAGGTATTTACATATCTCGAGGCACTTCTACACTCTATTGAATAATATATTTTACTATGTATACCATACTTATGTACCTGAGCACCGTCCAGCTTTTAAAATTCGTAGTTGGTACCCACGTCCGATAAATACGTTATGTAGTTCAGATTAATGGTTATTAATTTTCATGGCTTAGACTATGCATAAATTTTAATATTTTAATATGAAGAGATTTGGATTCGAGCCAAAGTACGAATCAAATCTGTATCATTCGATCCGATCCGAATCCAACCAGAGATTTCTTTATTGTAGTTGCACAAAAAGCTACTAGTTGCTTTAAATTATATTCCCAAGTGCAAATTTCTAACAAAAAAATAAAGAAAAAAAGCCAATTCGATTTCAATTTAAAAAAAATTGAATGGATTTATGAATTTAACTAAAAAATAAAAATCAGGCTGATGAGAAATCAACATATTGAAAATACGGCTAAGAATGAATATAGGGACAAGCTGGTTAGGCCTTGAATACAACCATTAATTCTAATCACTATGTGAGAAAGCATTTGAAGCCTGATACTGTATAAATGAAATAAAGCCCACCTGTGCATTATTTCGAATAGGCTCATGTGCATTATTTTGAAATAAGAGAATATTTCTAAATTCAATACAACCACCTTCACGTTGTTTGGTAAAATGCATTCATATATAGAGTATTCATTTTATAGAGAATAATCTTCATATATATAATATATTAAATAATTACATTAGGCCAATCAAATTATGTGTACTTATGGAAAGTGCATTATAGAGTGTGCAAGTTATTTTTGAAGCACTCAATTTTCAAATGACGCTCGTAAGTATTACTTCGGTAATTATATTAATAAATGCTTAATTTGGAGCTTGACTAATTATGTACATACTAATCATAACCTCATTTCAGAAAACAAGCATAATGATAAGAACAAATGCATTTATGTTCACAAGAAGCAAAATTTGCATCTGAATCATTTTAACCCATGTACATTTCTATTAATATATTTTATATTTATTTATTTGATAAAGTTTGATATCTGAATAGTTATATTTAATATGCTTTTCAAGAAAAAAAAAGATCACAAGAAATTTGAGGCTTAGCATTTGTATATTTTGTTAATAATAATAAATCTGAATTAAATATTCAATTGAATTTCTCTTTGGATTCAGATCTGCAAATTATGAATTGAATCTGGTCAAAACCCAAATCTCAAATCTGTAATAGTAGAATGTGGTTATATTACTCTCTTTGGATTCAGATCTGCAAATTATGAATTGAATCTGGTTAAACCCAAATCTCAAATCTGTAATAGTAGAATGTGGTTATATTACTATTGTATAAACAAACATATTTGTTTACTAAAATAGTTGTAGGTCAATAAAGCATTTTACACATAATTTTTTATGATTTTCTATAGAAAAATTTTATTTGTAAACAAAGAAATCATTTTTATAAAAGGAGGTTTTTTATTTTATTTTTTAAAAAAAATATCATCAAATCTCTATGTAATTTTATATATACAAATATAAGCACTAGCAGTACCCATCTAACAATAAGCACCTGTAGCACTTACTCAACAATGAGCATCTACTCAACAATAAGCACTAGCATATACCCAATAATAGCTAAAGGTACTTTACTAGAAGGATATTGGTTTAACTAGCACACATTTTTTTTTGTTATTTATTTATATTTTTTAATTTACTATTTTTTTTATCTTTTTTTTTAAAAAAATTTTAAATAACTTTTTAGGTTCTTCTACTTCTTCCTCTTCTTCTGGTCTTCACTTTTCTGTTCCTTTCTTTATGCCAAGACTTTCATTATTATTTTTGTAAAGTGCTATATTACCTAAAAGACTGCAACAAAACCTCTTTAAATACAAGAACTATTGTATTTATTGGTAAAGTAAAGAGCATATCTCAAAATTGTACTTAAAAATACTAGTTACGATTATTTTTTAATTATATAAAGCACTAAATAAAATCTAAT